TGGTATAATGAACCCTGGTTAGTGACTGAAAGAACGAGATTGTGGATCCAATGGCGATGGCAATCGAAATGAGTTTCCTCTGCAGGGTAGTTGGACTTTCACTTAGAGATGGGATGAGACATTCAGTTCTCCAGGAGAGACTCGGAGTAGAGCTCTTCCACATCCAGAGGAGCCAGTTAAGGTGGTAGTTTAACAGCCATGTCCAAATGGGAGATCGAGACCCTGAACACGCAGGAGAGACTAAGTCTCTTGGTTGTCCTGGGAACACCTAGTCCTCCCAGAAGAGCTGTATTTTTGTGTTGCACCTTAAAGTTAATCAAAAGCAATAATTACAAACAATTTGTAACATTAAAAGAGAAACACTGAACTCACCACAGTCGTCCAATAGTTTTTATTTTCCATCCATCCATTATCTTCTTCGCTGCTTCCTTTTTGGGTCGCGGGGGTTAGATTATTAATAAAAACGTTCTGCAAATTGAAGGTATGACATCACTGAAAACTGTCACCATCACAAGATGAAGAGCGCTCATTAACAGATTGTTATCCTCATGAACACATGACATCACCGACTCATAATTCCTGTCTTTATTTCCCTGCATGTTAAAATGCTTCACATTTTACAGTCCCATAAAACCCATTAAAGCATGGGTTGCAACACAAAATGGTTATTTGTCGCCTTGTTATTGTGTCTAAAACATGCCCCATGTTAGATGAACAGAAACAAAATAAAGCATTGCTTAATTATAGACAGAGTGTAACAATCTCATTCATTGCTCACATTAGGACCTTTATCATCATCGTGTTGGCTTTGTTGCCATCTAGCGGACCTGACTGCGTCGCTTCATTATCATTTCACAAACTCATAAAATAACTTTCCTTTACGGACAGTCATCGTCTGTTTGTTCACATTTTACATAATGACTCAGATTACTAGCGCACTGTTTTATTCATTTCTCATAAGTGTGTTTTTCTCTGCGTGTCAGCGTTTCCTGCCGTGACGCTTTAGCAGTTCGGTGTCTGTTTCGGCTACAGTGCGTTCAGTAAACACTCGGTCCAGTTCAAGGCCGGGGTTGTTGCACTTTTGCCGCGTAAACTACATCAGGCTGCGTAACCACGGCACTTCTGGATCAGATGAGTCCAAGACACTGAATCACAGACAATAATGGACGTATTCAAGAGACAAATGTGAGGTCACTTGCTCAAAACTGTCATGGCAGAAGGATAATCGTGCCAAGCACAGAAATAGAAGCAAATATCCCCAAACTTGAATGAACTCAGTCAACTTTACAGAAGATCTAACAAGGTAAAGTCAAAAAAGTTCAATCTGGTCCTCTGGACATTAAAAAAATAAATAAACAAAAAACAAAACAAAGCAAAAAAATGTAGATACATTTCGTCTCTCATCTGAGAGACTTCCTCAGTCTGAGGAGCTGTATTCAGCTCAGTCTCTTAAATAGCACCTTCTCAGAGTGGATCAACCAGTTTTGCTGCTGACAACCAAAACCAGCTGATCACATGCTCAAGAAGGACCATCAGCCTAACAATGGATCATTAGCACACTGATGGCTGTTTACTGTTCACAGAGGGCTGAGTGATACTAGCAATCACAGCATTGTAAGAGGGGGACAATTGAACACGTAGGCCTCCACCCCTGTTTAATGATGGACGATTTCTTTTCACAAAGATGGCCTCCTTTACTCCTCTCTCAAACCATCGTTCCTCTCTGTCCAGGATGTGAACATCTTCATCCTTGAAAGAGTGACCGCTGGCCTGGAGATGAGTGTAGACCGCAGAGTCCTGGCCTGATGATGTTGATCTTCTGTGCTGGGCCATCCTTTTGGCCAGTGGCTGTTTAGTTTCCCCGATGTAAGACTGATCACCCTCCTGACACTGAACAACATACACAATATTACTCTGTTTGTGCCGGGGGACTGGATCTTTGGGATGAACCAGTCTTTAATGTATTTTGGGGTTTAAAAGCCACTGGGACGTTATGTTTAGAAAATAAACGTCTCAGTTTCTCTGATACTCCCTCAACATATGGAATGACCACTGGTCTGGGTCTGGGTTCCTCCTTTTCACCTGTTGGCTGACTGGAGTCCTGTTTGGGTTTCTTCTCTGCTTTCAAGAAGGCCCAGTTAAGATATCCACATTGCTCTAGAGCCTGTCTTGTGTGGGATTTCTCCTTCTGCCTGGCTCCTGAGTTAGTGGGGATGCTGTCTGCTCTGTGGTACAGAGTCCTGATGACTCCTAACTTGTGCTCCAAAGGGTGATGGGAGTCAAACTGCAAATACTGGTCTGTGTGGGTGGGTTTGCGGCACACCTGAGTTAGCAAATGTCCTCTATCAAAGACTGAGACCTCACAGTCCAAGAAAGCCAACCTGCCATTTTTTACATCTTCTCGTGTGAACTTGATGTATTTATCCACAGAGTTGATGTGGTCAGTAAAATGTTGGACTTCCTGAGATTTAATTTTAACCCAGGTGTCGTCAACATACCTGAACCAATGACTTGGTGGTGTCCCTGAAAAGGACGTCAAGGCTCTCTTTTCTACCTCCTCCATGTACAGGTTGGCAACAATAGGAGAAACTGGAGACCCCATAGCACACCCATGTTTCTGCCTATAATATTGCTCCCCATATGTGAAGTAGGTTGACTGCAGGCACAGTTTCAAGAGTTGACACAGTTGTTCTGTGGAAAGCGTGGTCCTGCTGCTCAGAGTGGTGTCTGATTTTAATCTTAAACTGACCACCTCTACTGCATCATCAACAGGAATGCACGTAAAGAGTGATGTGACATCAAAAGAGACCATTGTTTCATCAGTCTCCATGATGACATCCCTCACCTTATCCACAAAGTCCATGGTGTTCTGTATGTGGTGTTCTGAGCTGCCAACTAAAGGGATGAGTACAGACGCCAGATATTTGGAAACATTGTAAGTGACAGAGTTAATCATACTAACAATTGGTCTTAAAGGTACACCTTGTTTGTGGATTTTAGGTAAACCATACAGACTAGGTGTGGCCTCCCCTGGGTACAGTCTGTGGTACAGAATACGTTCAATAGTCTTGTCCTGCTCCAAATTTTTCAGGCAATCTATTAACTACTACTTGTAACCACTTCCTGGATCTCTTACAGGGATTGTTGTAGTTTTTTGTTATTGATTTTTGTCACATGGTGGTGTTCAAACAATTTAGAACTGAAAGATGTTTGCAGATGACGTTGTGATCTGTGGTGAGAAGAGGGAACAGGTGGAAGAGAGCTCAGAGAAGTGGTGGTGTGGACTTGAAAGAAAAGGAATGAAAGTCAGCCATAAGAAGAGAGTACATGCGTGTGAATGAGAGGGAGGCCGGTGGAACAGTGAGGCTACAAGGAGCAGAGGTCACAAAGGTGCAGGACTTCAAGTACTTGAGGTCCACTGTCCAGGAAAATGGGGAGTGTGGTAAAGAGGTGAAGAGAGTCCAGGCAGGATGGAGTGGACGGAAAAAAGGGTGTCAGCAAAGGTCAAAGTAAAGGTTCACAAGACAGTGGTGAGACCAGTGGTGTAGTCTATGCAATATGCAGGCATACGGAGTATACCTACTTGAAAAGCTTAAGAATTTCAGTATACCCACTAAAGTGCCCAATGATACATGACGCATCATTAGACATGTGTCATTGACACTTTAAAATGGCAATTAAACGCTTCCGTAACAATCTATCTGTATGCAGCGCTTGTTTATTATATTCGCTTATTTAGCGAATTATTGTATAATTCTGTACTTCCTTTAACAAATTTTGCTTTGATACTGTTTTATAAATTCTATAACATGTTTTCAATACAAATCCAACTGTTGTACAAGGTTTGTTGTACATTTATTAAAATATAAGCACCAGAGAAATTTGTTAATGTTCAATATGCTTACAAATCAAAATAAATTGATGATTACATTGTACCAACTGGTGTACATTGGTTTCTAAGCTATACCCACTACAAAAATCTAGACTACAACACTGGGTGAGACCAGCTATGTCGTATGGTTTGGAGACAGAGACATGGACAAAAAGACAGGAGACAGAACTGGAAGTGGCAGAAATGAAGATGTTGAGGTTCTCCTTAGGAGTGACAAGGTTGGATAAGATTAGGAATGAGATCATCAGAGGTACAGCACAGGTTGAACAACTGGGAGATAAAGTTAGAGGCCAGACTGAGATGGTTTGGACATGTCCAGAGGAGGGACAGTGAGTTTATTGGTAGAAGGATGTTAGAAATGCAGCTGCCAGGAAAAAGACAAAGAGATCTATGGATGCAATGATTAAGTCATGGAGTGAGTTGGAGGAGGATGACTTGCTGTGGAGAGACCGACAACTTTGAACACCAATTATACCTAAATAATTGGCGCACCCATTAGCATGCCATCTTCGCATGACAAATTTAAAATACCTTCACTCGTACAACAGTAAACCTTAGTTTTGGTTTATATTGAGGAAATAAATAGTTGCTTTGTTTCAGTTCCTTCTGTATTTTTATGCTTGTTGGTTTCTTTTCTCCAACTGTTCTACGCACTAAAACAAAATGCAATGCTTCAAAACCAAAGAAGATACTTTAGCACAGCATGTGAACGAGGCATAGAAAAAGGAGGAGAAACAAAACTAATACAACTAACCTTTCTCTTTGCATACGTAAATATCTAATAACATATTTACCCGCGGGTCATAACAGGCAACAAACTCTGTAAGAGTGCGGAAACTTTAGGAGGAGGTCTCCTCTGTCACAGGATGTTTTCTTTAAAGACAGTGAGCTTCAGTCACAGCAGCACTGTGGGTGAACGTCAGAGGCAGAGCGAGGATATGATGTGTTAGTTCGAGAAGAGCACGTGCGTGAAAGCAGTGCTGGTCATATTGGAGAGACAGATCAAGCTCCTCTGCAGAGTACGGCTTCATGAAGTTCGAGTTCTGAGCTTTAGGTGATGCGGAGAAGCTCTTCTGCCGGACGTTGTCCGCGCAAAGGAAGGACCACGATGGGAGTTTGTTGGATGCTCATGATACTACTGAGCTGCATGTCATCTTGTGCTTCTCTGCACCGGAGCCCCAGAGGAAACGAAGGTAAGTTAAAGACTGTACGAGTATGCAACTTACCACAGAAGCCAGATGTTACATAATGGTGGGCATGCTTACATATTTAGGATTATATTCTCAAGTTTATACTCAGAAAGTAAAAGGAATTGGAAGAAAATAGAACTGAACAGTAAAACGTTATGTCCATGGAACAGTCAAAGGGATACATGGTTCCAGTTGTATAGTTTAATTTCTAGACGGGGATTTTAATCCAATAACAAGTGATGTTCCTAATGTAAGTAATCACCAAATTACAGCAACTATGCCACTATAAGTATCCTGAACTGTTGGCTGAGCTTGAACCAGAAAAAAATATCCGATCTTAGTTCAGTTCACGTATCATCGCCCTTACGGTCTTGTTCTTATCAAGTATTACTGCGGCAGCTTTAAAGCGCTCAGCGCTTCAAAGTCTAGATGAAAATGATAACTGAGCCACAACTTCGAGATCCGCAACTCAGTGGATGACTCAAGCGTGCCACTCGGACGGCAAAAAAAATCTATTTTTCACGTTTTTCAAATCGTCTGAAAATGGTAAAAAAATGGTGCTCTGTGTATCAAACAAATTCCACTGTGGGTGTAGAGCTGCTCTGAAATGACTAGTTTCCAAGCCTGAATATCAGTTAGAAATACTTAAGTAAGTGAGTAAGTGCTATGTGTTGTCATCATTGTATGTTCCCAGACAATGACGAAATTGGTTCTCTGCATTTAACCCATCACACTTGAGATACACCCAGGTGGAGCAGTAGGCAGCTATGAAAGTGCCCGCGGGGAGGAATTAGGGACTAGGTGTCTTGCTCAAGGACATCACGACATGTGGGCATGGCAGGGAGTCGAACTGCGACTGCCTGGTCCCAAGTCAGCGTCCCTATTTAACGTAGTTCTATGTATACGGTACTTGCAAAGCTGTTTGATGTTTGTTGCGAAGACAGAAGCACGCTGACGTTGGTTCACATTTATCTCCGTAGGTGAACAACTTCAAATCCTTTACCTGAACGCACACAGCCGCCAGCCCGTGTTCGTGCCGTGCCCAAACGTGACCGGCGAAGACGTGACGTTTCAACTCTTCAAGAACCAGAACATTCTTTGCCAGCTTGGCACCAAAAACCAAAACCAATGCAACCAAACGCAAATAAACGCACAACCGTGCAAAAACGAGTTGAATCAAGTCGTGGGCTTCAACATAACTGGACCAGCAGCAGCCAGAAGCAAGGCAATCTTCAGATGCGAGGCTAAAATCATGTTCCCTCCACCTTTCCTGTTACTGCAAAGTGATCAGTGGGTCCTGATCCTTACAGAAGGTAAGGGCTGAAATTTAAAAAGCCTTCCAGAATTATTGGTATAAACTACTAACCCCCTCTCCTCTGGATGTTTCTTCTAGAGGATCTCTGCTTGTCCAACAAAGACGAAAGTAATGGATCAGATTCAGAAGAAAGAAAGAGTTTATTCTGGATTTGGATAACGGCAGTTTCACTTCTCGGCACCTACAGCTTAGCAATCACCGCCGTTGCTTTGGTCATCTGGGTAAGAGTTTCATAACGAGCACTCAAACTGAAAGTACGCAGGAGAAAAACAAGTAATTTCTACTCCTAGCTTACGATATTATTCTTGAAATGAGATAAATATTAACGTTTGGGAATCTTGTAACTTAAAAGAAAAAATATGTTCTTTTCTTGCGAGTTTTACGTCTGATAAATGATGGCTAACAGTCAAAATTAAATTAAAAAAACTCTTCTATGTGCATGTAAGACGCAAAATACCAATAATAAATTACAATATTAGCTAAAACAGCAAAACATTGGCTCCAATGAGACATTAATCTCTTAGAACAAGTGTACAGTTTATATCTGTTTAATAATTAGTCTATAAACATTAATAAAGCATTAATTAAACAATGTGTGTATGTATTTGCAAATAGATCAAATATTAAGATAATTTGAGGGATCTTTTATTCCCACAAAATTGCTAATGCACTAAGTATAAGTTTTGGAACCATTAGGATTATAAGCACAAACATCTCGTTCAGCTTAATAAACCCTTTATTACCACATTATTAATTATGCCTCCATTGCTTTGTTCAAGAACAAATGGGAAACTAGAGTCACTAACTTTAACGTAACAAAACAATTTAGTGAATTTTATAAAAATATAAACTGAGTCTTTTAATTTTTTATTTAAGT